AATTCATAATTTTATAATATAGTTAACAGTCTTCCTCTTCTTTCATGTTGGGAGAGAGGCGCTCGGATAAAAGAGCGCAAAAGACTGTTTATTGTTGAATTTTTATTCAGGTTCGGATTCCGAATCTTATTTTAGAAGTTTGTGGAGTTAAGGTGAACAATGTATTTTACACAGTGTATATTCATAAGTTATCGGCTGTCTTTAGTATGTTAGCGTTTAACTGAATTTTTAAGCAATAAAAAGATGATTACGCCAAAGTCCTAGCTAAAATTTCTGATATGAATATATTATATCACACACTTCAACTTTTGTTCATTATCGAAATACTCTAATCGCCAATAAAAAAAAGTATCTGATATAAAAATCTTGAAGATAAAAAAATTTTCAGACACCAACTGAGCACAGGTGTAAGCTAAATTTAATAATAGAATAGAATAGAATAATTTTATTCAATATTGATTGAATAACTTTTCAGCATACATTATAATAGAAATCATTTATTTTAATGAAATTAAAAATTACCCACGCCATGAAAATAATAAAATTAAATCATTACAATATTTATTTTTACAGTGATAAGATATTGGTAGAAAATACACCTGTTACGTCACCAGATTAACTAATCAGTTATATTGTCACAATTAGTTAAGTAAATCTGTAAATTAGGTACAGAACAAACATCTTTGTATCATAAATATGTCAAAATAAATAGTAATTGTATGAAGCTATTGTAGACTTAAGTATATTGTGTATATTCTTGTTTATTATTAATCGAAAAAATTAAACTAACATAAGCGACAAATTTATACAGATCGATTTACCTTTTCTGTGTAATTCTTGATCATATTTACCAATTGTGTCCAAAACACGAATGTAGGTCAAGACCAACAATTCAGTTCACTTTCGCAGGCCGAGGGTTAATCCCAAACTTTACCACTTTGAAAACCGGCATTCAGTTAATAAATTTAATATTAAACTTACAAAAAAAAAAAACTCTTTCTGTTTATAAATTTAAGGTACCTACTTAAATAACCCAGAGACACGAAGTTGTTCCACTCAAACGTCCGGACGACGCGGCGACGATAGCATTGAACGTCCCGGCGACGCTTGTCGCGAATTTTATACGGTCCGATCCTACCTATATCAGAATAAAAATCACTCGCAGAAAGCTAATGAAATGCAGAATTTAATTATGTTAGTTAATTATATTTGTTTAAAATTAATAATATATAATACAAAAACTTAACAAAAACCGGCACACAAAGGCGAAGTTTTTGCATGTCCTCTTCATCATATATAAAAACATCATTACAGACTTTGGATTCATAAAGCTTGTAGATATACGAAAAGAAAGCATCTTGAGGATTATTTTTATATATAATGCTAGTAAAAAACTATAATAAACACATTATTACTTACATTTTAAATGCAGAACTCACAGTACTACCGACAAAATTTGGCACAACGCTTGTTTTTTTTTTTGTTTTTTTTCAATGGTATATGTTACTTGGCATAGACTTTTTACCAACCCATAGACGCGTTTTTTTAATATAGAGCCGGCTAATATAACATTCATAAAGATTTTTGTAACTTTCCATAGATAAAAAGTCCTTTAAAGTGTAGAAGTCAGCGAGGCCGCTCTAGTCGCCCTAACGTTCAACCGGAAAAAGTTTTAAGCGACTATGGTCGCCCGGACGTTTGAATCGAATTTAATCAACGGAAAGAAATAATTTACTAACGAGAAAATATATTTACAAAAATTATTATCATACATTTTTGAAAACTTGTGGCTTTCTTTTGAATTTGCTCTTTACATAATTCTTTCATAGTTTTAAAAATGCTCCAAAGCTACTTGCCAAAAAATTATAATGTAGGTATTTAAAAATAGGCCAAATACGCCAATTATCTAGAATATAACCACACTGGCAGAAACACAAAAATCACAATAGCACTCTTTAAATTTAAACTGAACTAAATGAAATCAAACAAACATTACTTATCACTGATAAAAAAAAATGTAAAATGAAAAAATCGTGTCAGTAATTTATTACTTGTTGATACTAGTTAAAAACATTTTTATAGTACGTGCGCTTACGCCGGCGTCGCATGTCTGAATTATAAATTCGTTGATGTATCGATATGAGCGCGCCTATCTCTTACTTACCAATGTGTAATTCGGCCTCGACCTTGTTCAAGCATCGTAACAAAGGCTTACACTAAAATTTAATTTTTATACTTATGAATGAATCTACTGAAAAAGAATCCCATACGAAATATCATGCACAATTTTAAAAACAAAGTATACATATCACCATTTTTACATTGTAACAGGACTTAAAGTATTGACCGTGCAGTGGGGGTGTCTTCCCAGGACAGAGATTTTTTTCGAACCAGTGGTAATTAAACAAAAGAGTTACTTTCTATAAGTAGATATTATTTATAAAATCTATATTGAAAAAAATACCTAAAATCTCGCCGTACTGTCAGGGATCAGATGTTTTTATATAAAATCATTCATAATAGGGTCGACTACATACCACTTCTAAGTGAAATAAATTTCAAATGCCAAAGGATAAGTGCTAGAAAGAAACTTTTATTTTGTGCTTCTTCTATGCGCACTAAATATGGCAAGAACAATTTTATAACTCGTGCATGTAAATCTTATACCTAATAACATATTTTCACATGTTGATGTATTTTTCTGTGTCACAAATTGAAACTGTAAAGGGTTATAGTTAATATTAATATTTAATTTTAATATTACTTTGACTTAACTTTAGTTTTACACATCAAAGTATGTCATGATGTTTGCTTGTTGTCGATGACTTACTTAACTGTGGAAACTTTATTGTTAAATATAACATTAATATGTGTTATGTATTAGACTGAAATTATATGTTTCCTTTGAGAAAAAAAATGTTTTGCTACAACCAACAATTGTCACTTTGAACCTATATTTTTAACCGATTACAACTATTTAAACAAAGTGTTCTGTATTTGATATTCTATGTATGTATGAATTTTTGTATCGATGTTTCACCATAGCAGCCCATTAGACCGATTTTGCCAAATAAGTCTTCAATCAATTCATCTTTACCAAAGGAGAAGGAAAGGAATAGAGAAATCTATATTATTTTTACTGCGTTGTCGGGCATTAATAACATTATTACTACTCAGTATTGTTCATAATTTCAACTTAGTATAGATAGATATTAAACAAAACATTAATTGTCATTTTAATGATTATTAATGTTTTGCTATTGTGGGAAACAATATTAAATTGATTACAATAATTATAACCTGACATCTTATTACGACACGATTACATTTTATTACGACCCGTAATAAATGATAATGACTAATAAAAAAACGAACACTTGTTAAAAATGATTGTGACCAGCTTTTTTTTATCTATACTATAATTGCTAATTAAGCTTATTATTGCATCAATTTGATTTTTAATTTTAAACGAGAGTATTTTTGTTTGTTATATTTTAGATTTTTGCTTAAGAAATGATTGTGACAAGATTTAAATTAAAAAATTAAGTTAAGTACGTAATCAAGGTTTTTTGACAACCCTGACACATATTTTCAAGTTTGTATAAAAGTTAAAGTTGCAGCCTATTTACGTCCCACTGCTGGGCACAGGCCTCCTCTCATTTCTGAGAGGGTTTTAGGGCAAGGAAATGTCCGCCGCGCTGCCCCAATGCGTGTTGGCGAACTTCACATGTCTTCGAAATGTTTTTTTTTCTTATTTCTCAGACATGCAGGTTTCCTCACGATGTTTTCCTTCACCGCCAAGCACGTGGTAAATCAGAACTTAAAATTGCAGTTAACAATTTCATTGGTCATTAAACTTTTAAGTCCTTCCAAGAATGTCAAAGTTGCCAGGTTTCACGGTATACAGAACTTTGACGCGTGATAAAAAGTGGATTATTAACGATAATTAACGAAAAACAATGGCTGAACCCTGGTCAGATACCGAAACAATGTCCTAAAGCGAAGCTCGCCACACAAAAGTAATGGTAACTGCTTAGCTGTCATTTGATTTTCGAGATATGTACGGTATAACAGCAGATGTCTATTGTGAAGAATTCGAACAATGATGACACAAAGCTTTTAGAGAAACAACCCTCACTCACTAATCTATCTTCGCCATTATTGCTCCACGATTACCCAAGACCTCACATTGCTCGACAAACCGTTATAACATTACAAGACCTGTTAGAAACTATACAGGTTTTTTGATTTGCTAGGGAATCAAAATGATAAGAAGCAATACTACTCGTTTTTGTATAATATGCATGACGGGAGTGCAAACATCTTCCAACAAGGCCACCAAGAGTCCTAAAAAAAATTCGAAAATTGATCTAATAGCAAGCGGTGAACGAGGAATAATAACAAGTGTTAAGTTGTTGTGTTTTTATAGGATAAGGGCGACAAACGAGCACACAGTCCACCTGATGGTAAGTGGTTGCTGTGGCCCATAGACATCTACATTTATCCTCAATAAAGAAGCAAAATGCAGATGCGTCGTCACCCGTGAGGACTAAGGACGTTTCCAGTAAAATGGGTCTCCGGTTCTCTACACTCACCATACGAAACACAGCAGTGTCAAGCTGCCATTTTATGCTGGTAGTCTGTGAGAGCGTGGTCCTTCCCCGGTCGAGCCGACCCATTCGTGCTACAACTATACTATTAATATAGCTGCAGCATGGCTCTACCACGTTGTTATGCTGCAGGATCATTTCTACCACCATTAATAGCCTAGAATTATTAATGATTTTAGGCCGGAAAATAATGAACTCTCCGCCTTTAGATAGAGCTTCGCCAGGGACTCGTGGAAGCAAGACAATAGTTGGGTCAATGGCGCAGCATTGTTGGAATATCTTAGATTATTTGGCGAAACGGTTAAATGTTCATGATCATTTGAGGAAATTACAGTGTGCTCGCTCTCCCTCTCTGTTCCGTTTCTCTAACAAAATGTTTTTTTTTTCCAGATCAGACCGTCATTTCTGTTTGGGATGCAATTCTCGCAGGAAGAGGCTCTGAGCGGTAAGTTGTCAGCAGAAAGCTGTGCTCAGATACAAAAGCGATATAATGATTACGACGGCGCTGCTGAGAAGGAACCAAAATGGGGGGCGCAAAATTCTATGCAGTGTTACGTGCAAGCCCAGGCTGTGTCCGACAAGGTATTCAATTCCTATTATTTTTCAACTAGGTAAATGTTTTACTCTTAATTTAGTAAGTTTACGCTCAACTAAAATTGTTAATATTTTTTTGCATAGCCGCTATACTATTTATAGCGCCGCGGGGCCAAACGAACCATGTAAATTTCACAGTACACGAGCAACCCGGGTTCGATATCCGCCGGCACCAATCAAATTATTATTGTTATGATTTTAAGCGTATGTAGGCTGTAACTGTAGTTTTACTTTTTACGAAACTATTTCCGTTAAAAAGTCCACTAAAAACCTTAACAGATTGTAGAGATAAATTGAGAGAGTGACTTTGTACATGATTTTTTTTTAATAGGATAAAGGTGACAAACGAGCACACAGTCCACCTGATGGTAAATGGTAGCTGTGCCCCATAGACATCTGTGTGTCAAATGCGGATGCTTTGTCACCCGTGAGCTGCTATTTTACGCTGGTATTCTGTGAGAGCGTGGTCTTTCTCCGGTCGAGCAGACCCATTCGTGCAACAACTATCCCGGTAATATAGCTGCAGCATGGTTCTACCACGTAAACAAAATTCTTAAATGATAATAAAATAAATGCGTAGTTATTTCGGAAAACTCAATAATGTTTTCTGCACTTTTAGGACTTAGCTTAGATATAATCGAATCGGACAGGCCGGACGTTGCAGGGATACAATAAGACAAACATGTTAAGTAGCACGTATTTATTAAGTCTTCAGATTAAAACGCGATTAATGTACAAGTATCCATACTTTTTAAATCAATAACAATTATAATATAACGTATATTTTTAATATTTTCAACTGTATTTTCTTTTCTTTTTATAGACGGTCGCCGACTGTGTGGAAGCCTTAATAGGTACATATCTTTTAAACGGAGGCGTTTTGGGAGCTATCAAAGTTCTGGAATGGCTGAAGATTATACCGGCTGAGGTAAGTTTTATGAATCATTAAAAATAACTTTATGTAGCATAAGTACTGAAAATGATCTCATCAGTTTTTAAGTCTAGTTAAAATTAAAGGAGTTTCAAAATAAACTGGTAAGAATATGAATGAATCTTCCCTGACTTGTTTTAACTGGTAAAACCGACAGCCATAGAGTGAATAATCATCATCACCATCATCATCATCATGACAGCCCATCACAAGTCCACTGCTGAACATAAGCTTCCCCCTTAGATTGCCATAAACTACGGTCCTGAGTTACCTTCATCCATAGACAGGTAGTCTATGGGTATCTATGGATAGTAATCTATGGATACTACTATACCTGAATGTTTCATCAGGTCTTGTTCCATCTAGTGAGGGACCGCTTAACACTGCGCTTGCGAGCTTGAAGCTGCTACTCGAAAACTTTTCTTCTCCATCGGTTGTCATTTTCTCGAGATATAAGATCGGTCCATTGTCATTAATATTACTGATCCACTGGGTTATGTCAGCTACTCTTGTTGTTCTGCGAAAGTCCTCGTTAGTGAATTTACCATGCAGAAAAATTCTAAACATAGCTCTCTCGATTTCTCACTGAACTGAGTGACTGAGCTTCCTAACGTCCATCAGTGAAGGGCCACGTTTGAGTTTCCGTAAACCATCACAGACAACACGCATCTTAATATAATATTTATTTTCAATTTTGGATGGTAGATTTAAAAAAATAACTACGTATTTATAGAAAATAAAAGCAGACAATACAAATTTTACCCTTTTGAGTGGACTAAAGAATATCACAATCTCAATGTCCCATTTTGCCACCGTAAGGCGTGGAATTTTTTCTACAAATTTATATGAGACCACTCCTGAAGTATATACTATTTCAATAAAAAAGGATTGTTAAAATCGGTTAACCATAGACAAAAGTATCGGTCGGGTCTTTTTCAAGAAGTCTGTTCGTTGGGTAATAGAAATTCACCGAGATAAAAAATAATATTTTATAATTAATAGGTATGTATTTTATCAGTCGTTATAATTAAATGATATAATAAAAATACTAATTTATGTGTGACAAGTATTTTATTTAACGAGAAATTTATATTTTAGTAAGGTACGTCCGCTGAAAAGTTCCATTACATCACAAACTTTGGATAATTATTAAAACTCAGTTGTCTTTCAAGAATATATTATAATTTTACTAAAACGTTTTTAAATATTAACAGTCTAAAAATCACTAAACTTATAATTAGTAATTTAAAATTTAACAACATTTTTTCTATGAAAACTATTCCTCAACGCTACTTTATGGTATGTTTTATTGCAGTGTAGTCTTTAATAGGATTATTCTATATTAAATTAATATTATAACACGGTTTAATTGATATATTTAATTAAACCGTGTATATATTTTTAAGTTACATTAAGGCAATATTCTTACCAAGCCTTAAATTTAATATAAATTTCACAGCAGTAATAGGACAAGTGACGTTAATGGAAATTTGCGTCATGTGTAAGAATTATAAGGTTGAGCTTACAGAAACTTTGTTTTTCTATTTCCTTTTTGGTACCGACATCGCCTACACTATTTTTTTGCTGTTCGGTTAGCTTATTTATGTTCTTAAAATGCTTCTTTAGTCTTTCAAGCTACTTTTTATGAAGTTTGTGCTTTTCTGAGTCCTGTTTTTTTTTTCTCTGTATCTCTTAAACCACTCCGCAGCCGTGAATGGCCATGGTGAGTTCTAAAAAAAGAGTAGTAAGATTTAATCTTAGTCTGTATGATCTAAGTTCCTACCAAACTATTGCTGTTTTCAGTTAAGTTTTTTTTTATAGGAGAGGGGGCAAACGAGCATGCTGCTCACCTGATGGTAAGTGACTACCGCCGCCCATGAACAATTGCAACCCCAGAGAGGGAATTGCAGATGCGTTGCCGGCCTTTTAAAAAGAAGTACGCTCTTTTCTTGAAGGTCCCTAAGCCGTATCGGTCCGGAAAAATCGCTGATGGTAATCGATTCCACAAGGAAGTCGTGCGAGGAAGAAAACATCTTCTAAATCGCACAGTGGTGGATCGCCAATCATCCAGATGGTGTGGATGGTATCGAGAGTTCTGCCGCGATGTGCGTTCGTGAAATTTGGCGGTTGGGATTAATCCGAACAATTCCTCAGAGCACTCCCCAAGGTAGATGCGAAAGAAAATGCAAAGGGATGCAACATCTCTTCACAGTGCCAATGAATCGAGCCAATCGGAAAGGGCTCGGTCGTCGACGATTCGAGCCGCTCTGCGCTGGATGCGGTCAAGTGGAAGGAGCTGGCACTGGGGAGCCCCTGCCCAGAGATGGGAACAGTATTCCATGTGAAGCCGAACCTTCGCCTTGTAAAGTTGCAGGCGGTGTGCCGGCATGAAATACTGTCCCGCTCTGCTGAGCACGCCAAGCTTTTTAGAGGCCAATTTGGCCTTGTCTTCCAAGTGGCCACGAAACTGCACGTCACTCGATATGTCGACTCCGAGGATTCCGATACTAGCTGAGGCAGCAAGGGGAGTGCCTTGAAACTGAGGAGATACGACAAAGGGGTTCTTTTTAGTGGTAAACGCACAAACTTGTGTCTTCTGGGGATTGAACTGGACTAGATTTAGTCGCCCCCAATCCCAGACTTTGTTCAGCAAAGACTCGACTTCAGACACAAGTTTATTCCGGTACTCAGCGACGTTTTCCCGGGAAATATTGGCACGGCCGGTGTATAGAGCATCAACAGTGCTGTCATCCGCATAGCAATGAATGTTACCAGTTAGCAACATATCATTGATATACAGAAAAAACAGCGTTGGTGATAGCACACAGCCTTGTGGAACACCAGCGTTAATAGGCTTGTAGTCAGAACATGCACCGTCTACAACGACCTTGATGCTCTGATCTGCAAGGAAGCTGGTGATCCAATTGTACAATTTCTCGGGAAGCCCATAGGAAGGGAGCTTCGAAAGAAGCATTTTGTGCCAAACGATCGAAGACCTTCGCAATGTCCAGACTAACGGCCAACGCCTCCCCCTTGGACTCTACTGCCTCCGCCCATCTATGGGTCAGGTAGACCAGAAGATCACCAGCTGATCCCGACGAAAACCGTAATGGCGGTCACTAATCAGCTGGTGATCTTCAAGGTACCGGATGAGCTGGCAGTTAATAATGGATTCCATTATTTTGGAGAACAAGGAGGTGATCGCGATAGGCCTATAGTTGGACGGGTCTGAGCGGTCGCCTTTTTTAGGGATCGGGTGGACAAAAGCTGTCTTCCATGAGTTCGGGACTACGCCTTGGGAGTAGGAGTACCAGAAAAGACGCGTTAGAACCGGTGCCAACTCCGGAGCACACGGCCTCAGCACAATTGGGGGGATTCCGTCAGGCCCACTCGACTTCTGGATGTCCAGGGAGAGAAGCGCTTTGCGAACCGAGCGCTGTGAGAACAGCACATCCGGTATGGAGCACTCACACCGCGGGATGGTCGGCGGTGTCCCCCCCCCCCCCCCCGTCATCAAGAGTCGAGTTGGATGCAAAGAGGGAGCCTAAAAGGTTGGCTTTGTCTTTTGCGTCTTGGGCCAGTGAGTCGTCCTCCCTGTGCAGAGATGGTAATGATGGCTTACAGAAATTCCCTTGGATAGCCTTGGCGAGAGACCAGAATGCACGGGTTCCCGAAGGAAGGCGAACTAGTTTCTCGCCAATTCTGCCTATGTGCTCTGACTTTGCCTTAGCAATAACTCTTTTGAAGGACCTGGAGGCGAAGTTATACTTCTTTTTAAGTGTGCTGGTGTTTACATCCCGAGTCACCGAAGCCGCAGCCCAGGCTTGATAACACTCCTGCTTACTGCGTAATGCAGTCTTACAGGAGCGACCAAACCAAGGCTGAGATCTGCCTCCGATGGGTACCACAGATGATGGAATAAATAGTTCCATTCTCTATAGCACCACATCAGTGACAGAGTCAGCAACAGCGCTGGGATCATCGGCCGAGAAGCAAACCCGCCCCCATGGGTAAGATGCAAAGAAAGACCGCATTCCGTCCCAATCCGCCGACCTGTAATGCCAAACACGGCGGCAACCTGCAGAACGCAACCGCGAAGGGAGCGTGAGTGGCACCATACTCCGGATCTGACAATGGTCCGAAGAGCCGAGAGGGGGGCATCGACGGAAACCTGATATCCGTCCGGAGGAGAGGTCAGCAGAAGGTCCAACAGGGAAGGTGTATGATCCTCCACATCTGGAATCCGCGTAGGCGAAGTAACCAGTTGTGTCAGACCTTATGCCAAGGCAAAGTCATAAACAGATCTCCCCGCGTGATCGGTTAAACGTGAACCGAGCCATTCGGCATGGTGGGCGTGAAAATCGCCAAGGATCACGATCTCTGCGGATGGGACCTGTTGTAGCAAGGAATCTGTAGCCATTTGGACGTGGTCGATGAGTCGGTCTGTTTCGGCATTACCGCTATGGGACCTATAGAGGCACCCGTAGACGCGCGGGACGGTCGTCGCTGTCTACGCGTAGCCAAAGGATGGACAGATCCGAATTCAAGACTGCCGAGGCGTCGAGAACAGATGTCCTCTCTGACATACACGCAAACTCCAGCCCGAGGCACAAAGGAGTGCTCCAATTTGTACCCCGGGTAGGAGAGATACGGCTTTGCCGTCTCGAGATGGTAGTAGACGGCGTTTAGGTTAGAGTGAAGTCCCCTGATGTTGCAGAAATTCATGGATAGCGTGGCAGAGGTCGCCTTGGTATTGTTGCTCAGTTTGCCCCCAGCAGTTATGTTTTTGAGCGGAATTTTGCAGCCCGAGCAGCCACGCTCAGGATTGGATTAACATGGTCGTGGATGCTCAGCGAGGGATTCTCCAGGGGTACTGGTACCCTCCTGGGGTAGTCTATCGTGTAATTCCGCTACCATGTTGATGGGGGGGGGGGGGGAATAGGGCCTCCGGCCACCTGCACTCACCAGACGAAACGCAGAAGCAGAGCTTCTACTTCACGCCGGTATTCTGTGAGGTCGTGGTACCAACCCGGCTGGAGCCGGCCCACACGTGCAACAGCAAAAACTGCTGCGTGGCTCTACCACCGTAAAAACCGTACGAATCTTCATCTTACATACTGTATTCGAAAAACAAAAAAAATAATTACAAAACTGTAGCTATGTGATGATCAATTAAATTTATTTACTCGTTAATAAAATCTAGTTGATATGAATTTAGACCTATAAGTTCTATATTCTTGTCATAAAGCAGCTCGAAAAAGACTTCAAAATAAACCAGGCACAATGCAAACCATGCTTAAAAAATCCACTACGTCACATTTGGTGTTCCGCTAATACAATACGTTGCGTAGAAGACGTGACGTATGCCGCCGGCACAGCAACGAAGTTCAGTAGTTTCGATGTAATTTTATGAAATATTACTGTCAATTCATATTTTTAACACTTTTTCTAATTAGCCATCAAAATTTCTAATACCAAAAAATTATTACTTACCCTCAAATAGTCAAGTTCGTAGTGGAAAATGAAAACGAGACGACTTGACGCCCAACCACTCACTTGCATTTCACAAACGCGACTGCTATCAAAAAACTAAACACTACTTGCTAAAACACTACCAACAGTCAAAAACAACACTTGGTTTATTATTTTTTTGCATTCTAAGTTATAAAATCGACGTAGCGTATATGGAATTTTCCACTAATAATATTTTAAGGGACAAGTTAAAAGAGTATTTTATATTAGTTTATGCTTTAAAGCGCTATAAATAAGGAATATTATCGAATTAAGGATCACATAATCCTACCAAATTACATACTTTTGAAGATACTGAAGAAAAGAGTAGGATAATAGTAATATTTTTCGTTCGGAAGTTTGCGAAACCAGGGTGGGACACTAAAAAAATTACTTTCTTTCTCTTAATGCCTATATTTATGTAAAATACACTTTTACGTATTGTTTTGAATACATTAATAATCAATATATATACATATATATGTATAACAAGTCTCTTTTTTAAATTATAATTTTATAGGTGAATCGTTTTATTTAATTTTTTTAACAAATTATGAAACTGGTTATGAGCCTGTTGGCAACTAGTTACCTTAAATTTTAAAAAAAAATGTTACAGGAACGCTTAAATACACTCCTCCACAAGCAAGTGCCCACGGCTTTTACACGCAAAAAGGCAAGCGTGTTCGACATTGATCACCTGCTAAACCACACACGAGAGGACGTGCAAGAAATACTGAACTATACGTTTAAAGATCCGGCACTTCTGTTAGAGGTATGTCGCTGTTGCCATAATAACTTACACAACATATCTGAAAGAAAAAAATTATAGCTTTTAAGTCATTTTCTGTACGAGAGCTGGTTTGCATTCATGGCTTAAAATATAATCAAATAGCAGCCATGCAATATGGAAAGATGAAAGCAAGATAAAAGTTACAATTTAGCCCTGACATTTCATGATAGGCCTAAATATCTGGATAAAAAAATTGAGTCCGGATTTTTTTGTTTCAAGCTTGTCAATTATTTAAAAAAAACTGTAAACCTCGTCTGCACTAGGCTTTGAAGTCGGTGATTGTAACTGAAAGTTATTTTTCTTTTTATAACATAATTATAAAATGTATACAGTTTTGAGGTTATAAAACTAATTAATAAAGAATAGCATGGAGCAGCACTACATGAATTTTGAAGTTAATAATTTAAGACTTATCATAGCAATTTGTATGCAGTTATTACTTTTGCATGTTATTGCAATTGACAACAAGACGTATACCGCATCTTGGACGTTGATTTCGTCATTGGTCTGAATACTTTACTCGTTGCTTCTTCTTTTTCTTCATCATCAGTCCCTAAATGTCCACTAGTGAACAAGAGCCGCGCCTGTTGTATGAAGGATCCCCTTATTCGGCACGCTTTGTATACGGATTGGCGTTTGTATAACTAGACGTCGAGCAAATTTTTTTTTAAATACTAGCAATGCTATTAATAAACATTACTAATATTCCCTTTAACCACTTCTGGTAACCATAAAATGCTTGTGTTAGAAGTGGTTCACGACAGTAGTCGAATGACGGATTCGAACCCACGACCTTTCGAGTTCAAGATCCGCACCCTGCCATTAGGCTACTGACGCTTCTAACCTTTGACGCTGCTTCGCCTCGGCTGTCTGAATACTTTACTTCTGGCATAAACGAAATGGCCATACCGCCAACTCGGAATTAGAAGCAATGATATCTTTGTGAGGTTTCCCCGCGACGCTCATGAGGCGTGCACTTTTGTATTTTCCAAACTATTTTATATAATCCCGTGGAAGTACACTGCTGACATGGGCCTCTCTTGTTAGAGGGAGGATGTGCGTTTCTCTAATCGTTTTGCTTGAAAGACGGATTAGTAAGCTCAGTACCCACCAGTCTCTCACTTTTTATGCTGGTCTGTGCATTTTACGCCTGAAGTAAACGAGTTACTAGCATTTATCGAAGCAAATAACACGGCACTCAAGGCAAATAAAATAACTAAAGAAAATATTCATTCGTAAATCAGACATAATTACGCCAAACAAAAATACATTTGTCTGCAAATCTATATACATGTCTCTCTACATAGTCTACTTCTAAAGTTGCTTTTATTTCACCAGGCCCTGTCTCATCCCTCGTATATACGGAATCGTTACACACTATCCTACGAACGTCTGGAGTTCATAGGCGATGCGGTACTAGATTTTCTGATAACGTCGTACTTATTCGAGAACTGTCGGGATCTGAAACCTGGTGACCTGACCGACTTGAGGTCAGCTCTTGTGAACAACGTTACTTTCGCAGCGTACGTTGTGAAATTGGGACTGCACAAGTAAGTCGTTGTTTGATAATGTTTTTCAGAGCTAATTTCGATCAACGGAGAACCCGGGAACACATACCAACCACCTCTACAAGACTAAAGTACGAGGCAGCCAAGTTGTTTGATAATATTGGAATGTCAAGTGAGCTGAAGCCGCGTATCGATTAAGCTCTCCTGGCGCGCGCGCCATGAATGACTCGCCGCCCAGTGCGTTCCGTGGAACGCGTTCCAAATCGCATTCTGCGTATCGATTATGTCAAACGTGGAGCGGGCCGTTCTATCTGGTGTCGGTTTTTTACCGCGTATCAAAGTAGTTAAGATTTCTCGCACGCGCCGGTTGATTTGATCATTCGTGTGTTCGTTACGTTCCGAACTATGGATAACCAAAGTTGGCGTAAATTAATAAAATTATATGGAACTACTGTGGTACTCTACAGTAGCTCTTTAAATATAAACTTAAAATATAATAAAAACGTTTTTATCATAACAAAACGCCTGAGAAGACCCATGGAACTGTGAAAGCAGCAGCTTGAACATGTCATATATCTATGTTGAAAACGGTCAAACACTGCAACAGCTGCTGCGCGCCGCAAGTGCGCTTAGTGGATACATTTGGAAGAGCGTAATTAGCAACGCAGCTGCTGAATTATATATGGTGAATAATTAGCGTTGATAGTTATTGTACTCAATCTTCCTGCTCGTCATTTTTAAGTAGTAAATACACGCTGCTACTGTATTATGCCTGCAGCATGAATATCAGCTTGACCGGGGACGGACATAGTCCCTGATAGTTGCTACCGCAGTCCATGGAAACCTGCAGCCAACGTCAAATAAAAAAAGATTATGGATGCGTAGCCCTCTTCGTTTAAAGAATTACTTTTGAGGACTACGATGAAATAACAACAGTCCGTTATTATACTGGCTCTCTACACCCTTCGGACCGGGATACACATTGTAGTGCAGGCACTGCTGTTTGGCGGCAGAAATCGGTAAGAGCGTGGTACCTACCAGCCGCACATCTAGGCAGAAAAAGAGATCTCATCATCTTTACAGCCCTTCACAAGTCTACTGCTGAACATAGACCTTCTCTAAGGAATGCTACAAAGTACGGTCTTGAGCCACCTGCATTCATCGACTTCCTGCGTGCGTTACCAGGTCGTAACTCCATCTAGTGGGGGACGCCCTACACTTCTCCTGCCGGTACGAGGCTGCCTCTCGAGAACCTTTTTTTCCACATCGGTTGTCGGTTCTTCGAGCTATATGGCCGACTCTTTGCCACTTCAGCTTACTAATCCGTTGGGCTAAGAGTCCTACTACCTAGGAAATAACACTTATAGAATTTCAGAGCAAAATGCAGAATATTGCTTTATTTCTTCGATCTTAGTCCGCAGGGGTAACACATCTCCATTTTGATTCTAAATAGATCATTTTCTTTTTCTTTTTTTTTTTGTTTAAAGAAAATACCAGCAACACTATTAACATCACTAATATTCCTTTCAATTACTCCTGGTAAGCTTAAGATGATTGTGTTAGAAGTGGTTCACAACAATAGTTGCCATTCAATCGGATTCGAACCCACGACCTTTTTTGAGTTCGCGGTCTACATCCTACCATTAGGCTACTATCGCTTGACATAGTAATTAGTATAGTAATTGATGGAAGTTTCCTATGGGCCAAAAAATCTACTTACCATCAGCTGAACTGTGTGCCGACTTGTAAACCCTTACTTCTATAAAACATCGTCAACAGAAACTCATAAAATTAGGTAATAATAAGGTTATAATAAGGTTTTTTAATTATGATTGTGCCTTCTTCAGACTGCAGTCTCACCTGACCGCATATACATGTAGGTCGCAACTGATTGTTGTGTTGCGTCTAATACAATTTTAAATGAAGCGTTTATACTTCAAGGCAGTCAAGCTGCAACCCATGACCCTTTACCGCGCCCTTAATTTACTCTTTAATTCCCCCTTAAATATGTTAAATTTACGTTTATAGAAGGAAGTAAAAAAAAAACTATCAGTCGTAGGACTACACGTCAGAAGTAAAAACTTCTCAGCTTCACAGACATATATGTAATCTGTATATATGTATCTGACCGTGATGCTCACGCGAATTCAGGGGTAGAGTTCCGTTCAAGTAGTCTAGTAAGTAAGTTTAGGTCAATATTCCTGTGTAAAAAAGTGAGGTATAGTTGATTAATCATCAAAAACTGCTTCAAAAATCTAAAACTTTAAACCCTCGTAAAAATTTCAGGGGCATTTGCACCCTAATCACCCCAAATCCCTTTGGGGTTTTTCATCATTTATGTTGGTAAACATGTAAAAAAAAAAATTGGTCCAAATCGGAGGTGTCCCTAGAACGGAACTATATCCGAATTCAGTGCTTTTCCCCCATCCCAAAAGAGCTATATATATATATATATTATATATACACACACACACAGACAAACACACATCTGTATATATGTAGAGCGTGATGGTCACGCGAATTCAGTGTTTTTCCTATCCGAAAAGTGACCAACGTGTCTAAAGAACTTTTCACTTCAATAATTATTAACATAAAAACTTCTTCCAGATATATTTGCTCACAGCTGAATCCAGCACTGGATAGCGCTATACTGGCTTTTGTTGAACATCAACAACAAAGGGACCACGAGATTGTTGAAGATGTCCTATATCTTATAGAAGAAGAGGAATGCAATGTTGCTGAATACGTCGAAGTGCCTAAGGTATTCCTTGCATACTAATTTCACTTTTAAATCAAACTTTCGATACTGTGTCGTCGCGAATCACGATAATGTGAATGATGGGTAAAATGTGTGTAAATGATGTGTTAACTTTTATAATAGAAGATATAAAATGTATGTTATTGTTAAATAATCTCATGGTAACTGAGAACTTGTTTAATATTCTTTAACTACCTAGTCGTAACTGCACTCTCCCCTTAAAAATGTTCCATTTACTACATTCTCAATAGATTTATTAAATTTTGTTTTGTTAATTATCTAATTGAACAGTATATGCGTAACCATATATCAGTCAGGATGACACAGGTAAATGTGTATAAATCTTGTTATTTCACAGACGCTGAGTGATATTTTCGAATCGTTGGCGGGCGCTATATATTTGGACAGTGGCGGGGATTTGGAAGCTGTTTGGTCCGTCGTATACAGGATCATGTACAAGGAGATCAACAGTTTCTCAAACCGCATACCGCTGCAGCCAGTGCGTGTGCTCAGTGAAAATATATACGCTTGCCCCTCTTTCAAGTATGTTATTCTGTGATTTCATTGTTTTGCATAGCCACACAAAAATAACATCTTATCATTGTTCTTAAAAATATTTTATTTCTGTTGTTGAACTGAATGACTCTATACATGTTTTCACGCTAATTAGTTCCTTTATTAATGGTAATTAAATGTAAGGGACACATGTATTACGGCGTGATAGGACTTCTTTTTTGCCTACAAAGCCAAAGATTTTTTTAAATTGAACGAACAAACTAACTTATGGCCCACTTTATAACTTACAACTTATAATGATGGTAAATGGCTACTGCAGCCAAGGGATACCTGCAATCATCTTCGAGCAGAAAAGGTTACAGGTGCGTTCTAAAATGGATCCAGACGGACTGTCCTGGTAGGTACTCTCCTCTTACCTACTTTTTTGTGAGTGCACTTGTGTGGCCTGAAGGGTAGAATGAGTATAAATACAGGCTGATTACGCATCTGTATGCTTTCTTTGTTTGAAGCTGCAGGTTTTCATGGACTGCAATAGTGACTTAAAATCAGATAAACTGTGTTGCAGGCGCTGTAATGACGATGTTCAGCTTTAATTTAACAAATCGAAATTAAAAGCTATTTAAAAATAAACATTTTTAATAGAAGAAGGGCTACAGTGCTGTATTGTGGTGACGTGAAGAAGTCCACTACCCCACCCCATGTCATCCTGTAGGTGTCGTAAGAGGCGACTTAGGGAAAGTGTAGCAGGCAACAGTATCTTTCTGTTAACAGCTTAAATAATAAAAAAAATGTTACTATGGCAAAATCATCGTATGGTGCAATCTATGGGGAGGTCTATGTTCAGCAGTGGACTTTTATACACTGTAATGGATGGAATGGATGGTATTTGTTATCTTAACGTCAAACTACTAGGCACTGGCCTCCTCTGATTTCGATGAGCAAAACAAACCGTATATTCGCCAACACGCACAGGACCGTGTTGGCGAATATATTTTTTATTCTGTAAGCACACAGGTTTTCTTAGGATATTTTACTTGTAGGCCGAACACGTGTAAAATCAGCACTTAAATTTCAATTAACAATTACAATGATGGAGGCGCTGATCAAACTCAGATTCCTCGCGTACTGTGATATTTACAGCGAGCGCTCAGCTCTGTAATATATTATATTATGCTGTATTACATCCTGGATTACAATCAGCAGCACGTAATCCGGATTTGTGGCAAAATACATGTGGACGTGAAGGCCTTATGGATATTTTTAGGTATTTAATTTTATTTCTTAGGAAACACTTAATGTGTCAAAAACCAATATATATTGATCATTTTATTACAGAAAGGCAATATTAACCGACTCTGACATACCCAAAGTAATGATACCAGTTACTTTTACGAAGAAGGGTCGACAGCATACGGTGTATGGAGTGGGAAATAATAAATTCCAAGCGAAGCGAGCCGCGGCCAAACTGGCATTGAAGATTTTGAGCTGTTAAATTCTGTGAAATATAAGGTCCGGGAAAAAGTTTAATCGTATTTTATATACACATTCAAGACATATATTTTCAAAGTTTTTTTTTAATTTTTATTATAATATATATTCCATTTTGTTCGATAACTTTGCCATCTTGTAGGTAGTGACATAATCCCGTTGCTGTAGATTTTTGATTATAAAAAATGCGACAAGTGCTTTTGACAGTCGTCTCTAGTGTTAACCTAACACTATCCAAAGAATTGTGAAGAGACCGAAACAGGTAAAAATATGAGGGTGCAAGGTCAGGTCTATAATATGGTGGATGCATTAACACTTCCCAACCAAGCTCTCTCAATTTTTGCTGAGTGGCCAAAGATGTGTGTGGTCTGGCTTTATCTTGATGAAAGACCACCCCTTTTCTGTTGATCAATTACGGCCGTATTTTTTTTTTTCAATTTGGCAGTAGAGATCCGACTCGATTTAGTCCGGCTGTGCAAGCTCATAATAAACGATGCCCTTCCGATCCCACCATACACACAACATCACCTTATTGCTTGTTAATCCGGGTTTCGCTGCAGTCCGTGGAGCTTGACTATCCTTTGACCGTGATCTTTTTCGCACGTTCTTGTCATATGTGATCCACATCCACTTTTCATTACCAGTGATCAATATTTTCAACAATGTTTAGGTTTCATTACGTTTCAACTTTCAATACAATCAGATTCATTAGGTTTCTTTCACTGACCTCGTGTGGTACACAAATATCGAACTATTTTGTATGGCCAGACTTTTTCAAATGCATCAAAACTGTTTTTTGGTCAATTCTGAATTCTTCGGCAATGTCATAACTACTAATATGCCGATCTTGTTACACTTTTTCAAAAATGGCATTGACTTTATTCGTATGAGGGCGACCAGAGCTAGTTGCATCTTTGACATCAAAATTCCCGGACTGAGAACGCTTGAATCAACTTTGTGCTACTCTTATTGACACTGCATTAAGTCCATAAACGTCACAAATTTTTTTCGCGACTTGAGTCGCGGATTTGACCCTTTTTTTTTGTAATAAAACTTCAGAATGTATCGAATTTCTTCGTTAGATTCATTGAGTTTATGTACTACGTACTAGAGAAGCCATTCCAAACAAAAATTGTGTCCTACTCTATGTCTTCGCGCATGCGCGGGAGTAGTAGTCGCGCATACGCGAAGACTAATTTGATATAAAATAAGATATTAATATAAAATAAATATAAGAATTTAATGTAAAATATCTTAATTTAATCTAAACAATCATATTTCTAAATAAAATGTAATAATTATTATTTTATGGAATTCACAAATCTTCAATTTACGCAATATTTAGTTTGTACGGATTGCAATACAGTTCAGTTGAACATAGTCAATGTTCGGATTGGCTTCTCTAGTACGTAGTACATATAACTCAATGGTTAGATTCATTAATTTTGGCGGACTGAAAAACAATTTAAAAATGGTGGGAAAGTATCTCGGTGTCCTTTTTGTGTTGATATTAAAACCAACCAGATACAAATAGTGCAACCAGAGATTTTTCTTCAATTTTATACAAACAAAATACGAAGAAACTTTTTCCCCGACCTATTATTTGTGCGATGTCAATTAAAACATGCACTCAGAATTTCTTGTAAGATGGGAGAGATTAATTGTCTTATATTTTATTAAAGTATAGTAAAATGAAAAGTTACAGCCTGTATATGACTCCATTGCTAGGCACGTGTCTCCTCTTATTTCTGAATGTTATGAAGCGATTTTTTATAACTCATAGGTAATTGTGTAAACAATAAAAAGACTAAGATTTCCTATGTTTAAAATAATTTCTTATTATTAACTGTGAGTGATAAGGAATCTATATACGTACATACACACATAAATAAAATTGAAGTGTCTGTCTCTAAAGTTCAAAGGTTATTTGCATGCTATAAAGATGTAAATAATCAGCGCAACACTGCTGTGTTTCGTACTGAGTGTAGAGAACCGGAGACCCTTTTTACTGGAAAAGAGGCATTCTTCTTAGTCCTCACGGGTGATAACGCATCTGCATTTTGATTCGTAATCGAGGATAGATGTAATGTCTATGGGCCACCACTTACCATCAGGTGGACTGTGTGCTCGTTTGTCACCCTTATCCTATAAAAAACCCATTTTATAAACGAGCAGTGCCATCTTGCGAAGTGTGAACTTATAAAATTATAAAAAAATCACCTTAAAATTTTTTCAAAGTAGTTTGATTTTAACTTCGAATTCCAGCAAAAAATTAATAATCAATAAATGTTTTTTATGTTATAAAAATAGAATTTCAAACATTTAAAAGCGGCCAGGGGGCGCAAAACTTTCGATGTGGACTATAAGGACTTACATTTGGCACGATCCTGACACACCTCTCTCGCTTCCTTTACAGCCATATACCTACGCATACCTGCTCGTTGGTTAAGGGTACTCTTAATCTGGCCCATCAATATATAAACTTGCGTCCCTTCCCGACTCTACCGTTCACTTCTGTAGCATAAATTTGCTTTGTCGCTCTTTCCTCGTTCATTCTTTCTACATGACCAAACCACCGAAGCATTAATTTTTTAATAAGTAAATCAATCACCAATTTTAAATTGTACTAGTGATCCGTCCCTCTTTCACACGGGTGATTTCTGGAGCTCGACAACAGCGCTACCTACCGGGTCTAATTTTGAATATAAACCATCCAGGAACCTGTTCAACTACCCACAAAAATTTCATCAAAATCGATTGAGCCGTTTTTGAGTATTAGCGGTGTTTAAGTAATTGATTCTTACATAATATAGAGATTAAACACTTTTTAATTTATTTTAAAATATGTTTTGTATTCATAATTATAACAACACACGAAATAAGTTTTGGGTGATAAATGTAAATTTAAAAAAGGAATAAAATTTCATTGTATATTTAGACCAAAATATGATATTAGATAGGTAGATATATATTATTGATTCCTCTATGGTATGCCTTATTAACAAAAGAAAATAGTACTATTTTCTAATTCGTGTTAATTTTAAATGATGAATGTAGAAAATTTATAACAACCAATGTTTATTGTATGGTGCGTGGGATTGGAATGCTATATTTGTGTAAAATTTGGTTACTTGAAAATATCCATGTATATCTTGTATAGTAACTAACAATGTTATATAAATAGGTCAAATTAAATGTATTTATCTAGTTTATTAGTACATTAAATGTATCTCTTTTTTTTAAACAATGTAATAATAATAAAATTTGTATGTTCATATTTATCGATCTAAGGGATTAGTTAAAAATATTTCAGTGGCCGTGTTAGCTTTGAGAGTTAAACCATGATTGATATAGGATAATTACAATGTTGATCCTTTTCCAACAAGATGCGAGTCTTCTTTAAAGCTGTGCACATACACTTTGTCATTTTGCTCGTTGTAGTATTCTTCAATTGTAATTTCTTTACTTTACTTCTTTTATAATTCAAAGACTGATCCTATGTAAGGACTATTTATGGTCAGAGTAGTTTAAATTACTGGAGGTAAACTTTTTTATTTTGTGTATCTGAGAGATGATTTGAAGCTAATTTTAATTTTAATTTACCAGACTGCCCATCTCGAGAACAGGTGTGAAATAAAAAACTTTTTATTTTTAATAAATTAATTGAAATGTTGCCGCTTAACTATGACGTTAATGCTGCGTTTTATAAGAATAGAAGTTTTTGTTGTCATAACAAACTATGAATAGCACAATCGCGTCCCGCGTGTTTAAAGTTTTGCAAATATCTGAACTAATTTTGAAAAATAACTGTTATGAATAGAACAGCTTAAAACGTCTTTTTGTAGGAACTACTTTAAGAAGACCAAAATCATAAATTATTTACCTTTTTTAAAAGTTTGTTATGATTATTTTCAATTTAATAATCCTTACCTTCAGAAGGATTATTAAATTAGGTAGGGTAGGAAAGTCGATGGATGCAAGAAGGTCAAGACCGTTTTGTGACATTCCTTGAGGGAGGCCTATGTTCAGCTGTGGACTTGTGAAGGGCTGTAACGTGTAATGACAACGATGATCCTCTTTAAAAAGAATTTCTATTAGACTGTTATTTTAGTAATAGATAAAATAAGGCATTTTATTTCTATTCTTAAAGATATGACACTATTGTTATTCATTTTTAATAAACTATTTACATACCAACTACTCTTTTATTTTCTATAATTACTCATATAAAATTTTATATGTAATAAAAGGATTTAATAGTAATGATGACAAACTCATGGCCAATTAGGACGATGGTAATTGGTAACAACTTTCGAATACTGTGTGAATCGATGGATGGATATACTCTTTGGTCAGAAACTAACAATTGTACAGCAATATAATCAATATTATAATGCCATGAGTGTCCGCGCTAACACAGCTCTAGTATACATAACTGATAAGTGATAACTATTAAATTAAAGGTAGGTACATAAACGCGGTCGAACAAGAGAGGATAGATAATACCATACAACCTGTAGGCCCGTAATGTCCTCGCGCCCATTTAGTGCTAATCAAAGAGTATAAAATATCAGTAAGTTTGGTGCTCATTAAACTGCACTGCGAGCAAAATTCAAAAATAAGATTTGCGTAATCAAATTGTGTAAAAACTACAACGGTAGGTGCTGATATCGCATACCACCAGTAAAAATTCAAAATTGAGAACCTAGGAAATATACACATTAGTTTTGCACACAAAATTTGTTTTTCTTTAATCCGGCAACGCCATATTTTCAGTGTTGCTAGAAGGGCAATCTGTAAAATGTAAATTCACAGTCATATTTCTTGAAAGTATTCTAACCAAACCGCCTTGTAATATTAATGTTAATGTAGTGAGACAAATTATTACACCACTAGTCTATCCAAGATACGAGAAAATAAAATATAATCAAGCAATCTAGTGGTTCTCAAACTTTTTGGCTGCACTTGGGATACTTTATTTGAAATTGTTGTAAAATTTTAGTG